CTGAATTAAACCAATGAATTCAAAATAAAAAAGGAATGAATCAGCATTTGAACAGTATTTCTCATTATCGCATAAAGATGAATCTTCCCAGGATGGACACATAAATATAAAATTGGCTTGAATTAGAAACTCTTCAACTTTTTAAAGGAGGCTCGTTCAGCGTTCGGCTCTGAATAACTATGTTTGAACACAGCCATATAAATATAAAATTAGCTTGAATTAGAAACAAAAAAGAAACAGAGCCTTAACGTGGACTCTTCGGCTTTTTAAAGGAGGCTGGTTCAGCGTTCGGCTCTGAATCCTCGCTCTGGGTCCAAAGCCTCCATCAGCTTCTTCCTCATGACGGCTTTGCTGGAGTACAGAGGCAGCTCCAGGTAGGAGTAGCAGGTCAGGGCCTCGGGGCGATGCTCGTCAGGGGAACCGGTCAGGACTCCTTGGAGCCGAACCGTCATCCTGACCTCAGCCATTCCCAGGATGGGAACCCTCCGAAAGCCTGTCAGGAACCCTGAGGAGCAGAAGGGATCTTTGTTGTTTTTTTTGTTTTTTTTTGTTTTTTGTTTAATCACAATCTCATACAGATTGTAAATGAGCCAGATTATAGCATAGTTGCTAGTTTACATCTGTCGTCCTGAGGCAGGAAGACAAAACAACACAAAATCACAGAATACTAAATCAGTCCAAACACACGTTCAGACAATGACATTACAAAATTAAAATGATTTCAATTAAATTCAATTTCATTTATATAGCGCCACATCACAACAACAGTTGTCTCACAGCGCTTTCCAAACAGAGCAGGTCAGACCCTACTCTGAAGTTAACTACAGAAACCCAACAATTCCCATATTATCAAATAATAATTGGAGTTTGGTTTAGTTTGACCTTCTAAACAAACACATTGAAATGAATGTTTGATTGAAACTGGGGAAGAAATGATATAAATTATATATATATATATATATATGTATACATATAGTTTTTTATGTATATATCTAGCTATAGTATATGAGGTTTTTTGTATATATATATGTATATATGTACAGACATGTACATATGTATATGGCTTTGTTTTACTTATGGAGCCTGTAACAAAAATAATTTCCCTCTGGGATTATTAAAGTATTTCTGATTCTGATTCTGATGTTTGGAAATGTTTTCCCAGCTGAATCTCTGGGCTCTTTTTGACCTGAGAGGATGAACATGACCTGAGAGTCTTACATCCATATTTCTATTCTCAGATCTATACTTTTAAAGATTGTACTTTTTTGTTTTATTTTGTCTGTTCTATATTTTTATTTCTACATTGTATTTCCTTACTTCTCATAGAAGTGTTGTGCACCAAACAACAAGGCAAACAAATTCCTTGTAAGTCAAAAACCTACTTGGCAATAAAACTTATTCTGATTCTGATCTGTTTTTAAATTTTATATCAACACTTAACATAGACTTCTGAACACATTCAGAGCACAAGACGGAGCTCAATTAAGGCAAATGTGGGATATATGTATTTTGTGGGTGGCTTAAGTTTCCCTAAAGCAGCTTAAAAAAAAAGGGAGGATTTCTTATGTTTGTCCTGTTTCTGGCTTTAAATGTGACCTTATAAGCCTGTAAATATTAACCAAGCCTGTCGTATCTGAGCTCAAACCGCTTTAAAACAGATAAAAAACCATAACCTGAGTGACTAAAAATCCACACCAGTATTAATTCTGCATACAGAATAGCTTGAAATGGTAAAAATACAGTGTGGGAGGTTCCCCATTTCCTCGTCTGTGCTTCCTTGCCACAATCGTTATCTAAACTTTCCAAGTCTGTTTAAAAAAACAACATGAATATAATTTATAGCAGCTAAAATGCTAATAATAGGTATTATTTTTAGCTTTTTGTTGCACAGGAACACTGTTAATGTTGCCTTTTTTTGTCTGTTTTGTTGTAGTTGTTGCTGCTCTAACAGCATCAAAAGAATAAAGTTTTATTCTATTCTAATAAACCTTTCAGAATTATTTCAGATATTCAAATAAAATAAAATAAATAAAAAGTATTTCAGATATTAAAGTCCTCTAAAATAAGACTTACAAAGGAAGTCTTTCTTCTTTTCTTCCTCCAGCTCGTTGAAAACCTCCCAGAACCGGAGGATGTTGGGGTGATTCTGATAGTAGAACCCGTCGTATTGTGCGTTCTGTGGACACACAAACACACAAAATAGAGTTTTTATGCTGAACACAAACAGAACAAAGGGGACGGTGGGCAGAGATGTTCAGTAACGAAGTAAAACTACTTAAGTACTGTACTTAAATACCAAAATGCAGTATCTGTACATTATTTGAGTAGATATCTTTCCCCTACTTTTACTTTTACTCCACTACATATTTTCCATTATTTCAATACTTTTCCTCCGATCAATTTTTCACAGGCTGAATCGTTACTCGTTACTGATTTGTAAACGTAATGATAGATAGCTGTCACGGTTTGGAAAGCTGGCTCCTCATTGGCGATTTGAACGATCAAGCATAGCCTATAAAAAAAAAATCCTCCCAAAAGATTGTTACTTATAGCCTTCAAACATTCCCCATCTAATCTGAAGAAGCTTATCAAGGTAAGATAAAAAATACAATGACATATAAGCTAGTAAATAAGCGCTAGTTCAGTTCTCCCTGTTCTCTCAGGACGTAGCAGCTAACGTTAGCTAAAGCTAACCTAGCTGGCTAGCTGTAAGTTAAAAAAATACGATATATAAAATAATAAAATGAGCCCTAGTTCAGTTTTCCTTGTTCACTCAGGACGCAGCAGCTAACGTTAGCTTAAGCTAACCAAGCTGGCTAGCTGTATAACGTTAGCTAAAGCTAACCTAGCTGGTTAGCTGTATGATAACGTTAGCTAAAGCTAACCTAGCTGGCTAGCTGTATGATAACGTTAGCTAAAGCTAACCTAGCTGGCTAGCTGTATGCTACATGCTAACATAAAGGCTCAGCTCAGGATTCTGACTGGAATAATAAATAATAGTAGATGAAGTGCTGTTGATTGCTAATGCAGATGTAGTTTTCTGTTTTTGAAAACACCTGTATGGTCTTTCACACGTTTGAAATAATATAAACAATATCTATCAAATTTTTGATTGCCCTTTTTTTATATACACAGTACTTTTACTTTTGATACTTGAGTAGCAATTTTTGAAATACTTCTACTTGCAATACTTAAGTACAAAAAAATGGAGTACTCCAGTACTAAGTATGGTGTTGAAAGAATACTTCTACTTTTACTCAAGTACATTTTTTTACATAGTACTTGTACTTCTACTCCACTCCTCTACTCCAGTACTTTACACATCTCTGGCGGCGGGCCGTGCCTTTTTGAACGTGGCCCAGTCGTAGACGTCCTGGCCCTCCAGGGCTCCCCGGAGCTCCTCCGGCCCGAACATCTGCACCAGCCCCCGGTCGCACATCTGGAAGAAGCCGCGCTCAAAATGGCCGAACGCCGCCGAGCCGAAGGCGTGCGACACGTAGGCCGCCACAAACTCCGCCCTGTCGACCGGGGGGGGGGGGAGGGGAACAGGGCCCAGAGTGAGCTGCAGCCTGTAGGAAGCCGAGGATGGATGTCCGACTCCTCCCACATCCAAGTCGGCCATTTTGATTAGGTAATGTGACTAGCAGCTTTCTCAGGTGGAAACGAAAGTTTTATGTCTGTACAAAATCAGAAGACAAACGATGTCCTAACACTGACCCTGACCCTAACCCTGACCCTAACCCTAAACCTAACCCTGACCCCTAACCCTAACCCTAAACCTAACCCTAAACCTAACCCTGACTCTAATCCTAACCCTAATCCTAACCCTGACTCTAACCATAGACCTAACCCGAACCCTAAACCTGACCCTAAACCTAACCCTAACCCTAACCCTAACCCTAAACCTAACCCTAACCCTAACCTAACCCTAACCCTCCACCCTTCATAATTGTGAGAAATAAATATTTTTTTGGTTAAACTTGTTTGGACTTATTGTACAAACCTATTTAACATCCACTATTTTAACATAATATTATGTATAGAGTTGAATTCAGTGTTTGCAAGATTCATTTCACTATTTTTAAATGAATGTCTTTATTGCCATGAAGCAACTACGATTTTCTTGCCTGGGATCTTCCTATTGGTGACATAATCAAAATGGCCGACTTGGATGTGGGCGGAGTTGGATATCCATCATTGGCTCCCCCTCTTAGACCCCCCCCCCCCCCTTAAAACTCACTTATTCTGCTGTGTAACCGGTTTCTCCGGGTTCTGGGGATCGAGGTCGACGTCTTTCCCGTCCCAGTGGATCTGGAAATGCCAAAGGGGGCGGAGTCAGAAGGGGCAGAACCAATCAGGCAAATGGACGTTTCTGACACTCAGGCACGGACCACGAAGTCGATGTCGGGGTCGTCCTCACTGCTCAGGACGGCCTGCAGGCTCCTGAAAACAGAGGAGAGCCGGTTGGACTCAAACTGGGGGAAATCAAACTAAACTCCAGTCCTTCTCATTCCTGTTTTTAGAAGTTTCCCCGTTTCAAATAGGCTTTTCCCGATCCGATATCTGGATCTGGATCGGATCGGCCAGCAGGAGAAAATGCAGATCCAGACTCCAGATCCAGTTTTTTTTTTTTAAAGTCCGATCCCACACGAGCATTAGCATTAGCATTAGCATCTCCTGACCCACAGGTCTGTGTCCTAACCATTAAGTTGTTATCAGAGTAAATCCCTGTTCAACATGTGTCTGACAGCTAAGTAAGTAGATAAATAACTTTAAATTTTAATACATGCTCTGATAGGCCGGGATTGGTGTCGGATCGGAAGGGAAAAAAGCTGGATCGGGACATCCCTAGTTTCAACACAGCTGATTCACATCACAGAGCAAAGCAAAGCCCCAAAATGTCCAGAGGAGACCCTCTTATTTTACTCCAATAAGGATCTATTGTGGACTGACGTCCATCATGTGTGGCGTTTGGTGAAAATGGAAGCATCTTTAATCGGTTCCAACACAATTTTGGGGGGTTTAAATTGATCATCTGTCTATTTAACCATGTAATGCCAAATGTATCATATTTGATACATACGGTTTCTGAAATGTTTTGTGTTTGACACCTTTTGCACAATCTAATGGTAAAAACTTTGCTCAAAATCCAATTTTACACAATCAGATACACCTGATAACAGGGGGGAGAAGACTACACGAAAAATAATCTTGACTTATCGCATAGTAATAAATTATTAATATTAAAAATGTATTTCTGTTTTTTCTTTTTACATATTTTGTTAAAAGGCCAAATAAGGAATTCAAACAAAAAAAAAGTAATTTCCTTTTTTCTTAATTCTTGGATCAGGCTTTAAAGTATAAGTACGTCTACTTCCGCCTCTGTGAGCTCATCCGCCACCATTTGTCCCAAATCCAAACCCAAAATACACGGAAAGCTAAACAAACTCTTACTTTCCAACTTCGGGCTCGAACTCCATCATGTCCTCCAGCGTGGGCTCCACGTGGAGCAGCTTCTTGAACAGAGCCAGAGGGAAGTGGGAGTGTATGATGCTCTTGTTGTACAGGGCCAGTCCGCACAGGATCCCGAACAGGTAGAAATCTGTCCTGCTCTCCTCCGAGTCCTGGTGGGAAAACAGAGCCAGAGGGATCCTACGTTCATGATTTCATGTTTTCTCTGTTTTTCAGGGGACCAGAATAGTCTGCCTAAATGGACTGGCACTTTGCAAAGAAGGTTACGGGACTTATTGCCCGACGTAATTCTCGAGGGACATAGACACACACACACAGACACACACAGACACACACACACACACACACACACACACACACACACACACACAACACACACAAATATTTGGTTTAGGGGCATTTTTGGGGCTTCTAGAACACTCTAGTACTCTCAGAAAAAATGAGGACGCGAAAAATGTCCTCATATTTCTGCACGTCCTGATATTGAAGGCGTGTATTCTCAGATTGGTCCTCATATATCACGAAAACAAACACACACACACACACACACACACAGGGAGCAGAGCAACTAGTGTTGGAGACAAAATGCCCCGTTCACTGACGAACTGCAAAAAAAGAAAAAAAATCCCACGACAAGTGGGACCAAAAGGATCTACACTTAGTATATAGATACAAAAAGGATCTCTGCATAGTTATTTGTTTGCCTTCGTCTTCTATTTCAAGTCCGACGTTTTTGGACGTACGATGTGAAGTCAGATCTCATAACTTGGTCATATAGTGTGATAACAGAAATGGTGAGCGGTGAACTTTGAACCCTACGATTTGGTGGTAACCCTAACCCCGGCTTAATCTGCTAGAGGGTTCTGGGTTGGAGTCCCGGGGGAACCAGGACCAGAGGGTTCTGGGTTGGAGTCCCCGGGGGAACCAGGACCTTTCTGGGTGGAGTCTGCATGTTCTCCTGTGTCTGTGGGTTCTCTCCGGCTTCCTCCCACCGTCCAAAAACCTGCATGTTAGGTTGGCTGGACTCCAAACTGCCCTTAGTGTGAGTGTGTGTGGTTGTTGGTCCTTGTGTGTCTCTGTGTGGCCCTGTGATGGACTGGGGACCGTCCAGGGGGACCCCGCCTCTCCCCATTGGCTACTGGGTGTCACGTCTGGGGGAATGTCTGGTGTCTCGTCACGTCTTGATCACCTATTGTGTACACCTGGGGTTCCCCTCCCTCATGTGTTTAAATAGTCCTCGTTTCCCATGTCCTGTGCCAGTGCGTTTTCGTCCTTCTTGTTGCGTCTCTCATCTTTCGTCTCCCCATGTCACGTAAGGTTTTGCTTTTTGCCATAGTCTTATTTACTATGTTCCAAAGCCATGTTTTTTCACAGTTTTGCCACAGCTTTGTTTTTTAACCTTGTCTGGACTTCCACCGTTTTGAGTATTTTTTGTTACAATAAACCCTGTTTTCGTCATCTCCGCGCCTGAGTCCTCCCTCAAGATCCACGCCCTTGACACTGGGATCGGCTCCAGTTCTCCCCACGACCCCATTAGGGAATAAGAAGTTACGATAATGGATGGATGGATGGATGGATGTGTCCCCGGCTTTAGCTTTAGCTTCCAGACTTACCGTGGAGGAGAACCAGGCTAGGGTTCTGGACTGGTTTTGCAGGAACATGTGGGGTTTGGCTTTCACAATGTTTCTGAACAGCTGGTGGAAGAAGTCCTGTCTGTAGACATTTGTGATCTTTGGGTCTCCGTCGAAGTAGACCTGAGACGGGACAGATGGTTAGCGGACAGCAGATAGACCGTGTTTTGGTCAGTCCTGATCAATGAGAAAACACTCACAAAAAGGGGTTTCTTCAGATCGGCGGGACGAGCAGCCGCCAGCTGTCTGAAGGCGTCCTCCAAAAACGAGGCTCGATTCAGATTCAGTTCAAAATAGAGTTCGGAGGGGCTTCCATAAAGCCCAAAAGGGTCCTCTGGAGACGCCTGGTGCTCTCTCTAAAGCACAAAGCAAACACAGGTTTAGCTGGACACAAGGAGGCTGGCCTGGCTGGTTTTGCTTCACATTGAGAGGTTTTTACTTTTTCTTAAAAATGTGTGATAATTTTCTTGTCATTATAAAAAAGTTTTTCTTATGTTTTTATGTATTCTGTACAACACTGTTCCTTTTTTGGTGTGTAGTGCTGTATAAGTAAAGCTATATTGGATCTATCTATCTATCTATCTATCTATCTATCTATCTATCTATCTATCTATCTATCTATCTATCTATCTATCTATCTATCTATCTATCTATCTATCTATCTATCTATCAAATGCTGACATCACCTGAGTGACATTGCAGTTCATGTCAAAAAACTTTTGCTTTGACTTTTGATCCACGAGAAAAAGGAAGCTGCCAAAGATGAGAGGTGGATTATTCACATCCTGAGGAAAATAAAAAAGCACCAGTAGTTATTCTTTCTGCAAACTATTGAATCTGTTGCACTGAAAAGTGATTAAATTATACAAAGGACTCTAACTTGCCATTTGACGCCAGAGGACCAAATCATTTTGAAGCATATTGTCATTAATCTCCGAGCGGAAAGCTGTTTCAGGGATTTTGCCGTTTTTATTGGCCTGAAAAATAAACATTGTTAATTCGATGGAAGATTGATTGAAAATGAACCGATTGAAAATATTTTGGAGCAGTGTTAATACTGACATTGTACATATTCTGGAGGATATGCAGGACGTTTCTGACTGAGCCGTAACAAGGAGGCAACAAAGACAAGGCCGTCTTCCACACTTTCAGGTGTCTGTACATACAGAGATCAGGTAGCGACGCCCACCAGGCCCCTGAAAATAACAACGTTAATGAAAAGGAGTGTATCACAAACTAATCCACCCAACAGTTCTTAATCTTAATGTAAAATACCAACAACAGAATAACAAATGGATTGAGTCTTCACGAAATCTCTAATACCTTTTACAATTTTATATAAATTGTCAGGTTTTACAGTATCTTTAAAAAACTTACAAAATGACAATAAAGTAAAATTAATTATTTAAAGAAGCACACTGTTAATGTATTAAAAAATATAATTGTGAGTTGAAAGTCTTTGATATTTTTTGGATATTTTTAAACTGGATTTTAAACAGTATTTAGCAGCAAGCGGTTAGCAGCTAGCGGTTAGCTGTTAGCAGCTAATGGTTAGCTGTTAGCATTAAGCAGCCCGTGTTTAACAGCTAGCGGTTAGCAGCTAGTGGTAAGCTGTTAGCATTTAGCAGCAAGCGTTTAGCAGCTAGTGGATAGTAGTCCGTGGTCAGCAGCTTTACCCCTTTGGCCAGGCTGGGGCCTGACATTAAAAGTGTCGAAACTGATAAAAAGATAAACTATTATCTTAATTTCTTCCTAGTGTAACTATTGGCAAATGCATTCGCTGAGAAATTTGAATGTATACACAGAATAGTGGTTATTGTTGATGCCATTAGGTTGGTCTGTCAGTTTCTGAGATCATTATTAAGGTATCTTGAATCATATATATATATATATATATATTTGTTGAGTCAACATGAATGTGCAGACAATTTAAATATTTATCAAAGAAGTTGGTAAAAATACAGTCACTGCCAAACGTATTTTTGTGTTTAAACTTTCCTACTTCTCTTAATTAATCAGGTGAATAACGGATGAAAAATAACATTTATAAAAAGCATTTTTGTCAGAAATGCCGCCTTAAGGAAGTTCACTTAATAATCTGTAATTTACCTAAAATCTGGCGGCTCTCGGCGGGGAGACTTTGCACGGCTGCAGCGACCCCCTCAGAGAGCTGAACGCTGCGCGGCCGCCTGTGTTTCTGCATCGCAAACAGGAGCTCGTTGAGAATCAGGAAGACCCTCAAGCCCTCGACTGCCACCTGTCCTCCATCAAGAGAGAGAAGCAGCTTCTGGACAGCAGCTTCCACCTGTGGATGCAGCACGCAGTAACTGAGATTTATGGAGACTAACGCTACAGCTTCTTTAAACAAGCCTCCAAAATCTTTTTTTTTTTCTGAGGCGATTAAAGTTAACTGATAAAAAATAAATATATAAATACATAAATAGATAAATACATAAAATAGAATAAAATAAAATCAATAAATCAATAAAAAATAATCAAACAAATAAAGAAAATAAATAATAAATAAATAAATAAATAAATAAATAAATAAATAAATAAATAAATACATAAATAAAAATGTAATAAATAAATAAAAACAAAAAAAATAAAACAAATAAAATAAAAATGTTATAAATAATTAAAGTTAACTGAGCTGCATACCTCTGGGAAAACTACATCTGTGCTCACTAGTTTGCCGAAAACACTCGGGGCACCAGTCAAATCCAGGCCAGAGCAGTTTTCTGAATGGTGGAAATGCTCATCGTTGCTAAGAGAAAACACACAGCACAATGTTTGATAGTGGAACAAGTGAACAAGGGAAATAAACTGCTGGATTAAAGGA